GTATTGTGCCACCCTTCCACACTCTGTGTCCCTGCCTGCCCCCCAAGAAAAAAGTTCTAGACCCACCCCTGGTAGCCAGGCCCCATTAGTGTTGGCCCTCTGTCCATGGTTGATTTCCATATCAAACTTCCTCCCAGAGGRAGGGAAGGATGAGACAAATAAATTAGTCATTCCACAGAGTTTAGACAGAACGCTGGTAAAACTCACCAGCTTCATGTCTATGACTATTTCTAATGATGCAYGACAGGCGCAATGAAACTGAACTTTGCTTTCCACAACTGTCAAACTTATCCTGCAAAAAGACCATGCGTCCCTCCTCAACTTCCATGCTTATTTTTATTACACTGTCTTTCATCTCTCTACTCACTGTGACTCTTAACATGCTGGTCATCATCTCCATTTCCCATTTCAAGTAATTTAACTTTTTCTTGTATTTTTTTTTTTTTGCCTTCGTTAAGCTTTCTCTGACAATTAACAGATTTTAAAAATACTAATAAATGTATTGCTTTTCTACTCCAGGCAGCTCCACACCCCAACCAACCTCCTTCTCCTTTCTCTGGCTGTCTCAGATTTTTTTGTCGGCTTTCTTGTAATCTTTCAGATTCTTCTCATTGATGGCTGCTGGTATCTGGGTGACCTCATGTGTATTCTGTATAATATTTTGGATTATATTATTACATCTGCCTCAGTAGAAACCATGGTGCTTATATCAATTGACTGTTATGTGGCCATATGCGACCCTTTCCAGTACCCTATCAAAATCACTCAAAAAAGAGTTTGTATCTGTGTTGCAGGGTGTTGGATCTTCTCCTTCCTCTTTGTTTTTATAGTAATGAAAGAAAACCTGAAACAACCAGGTAGGTTTAACTCTTGCTTAGGAGAATGTGTTGTTGCTTTTGATAAAATTGCTGGACTTGTAGATATTTTGTTCTTCTTCATTGGTCCTGTTACCATCATTGTGGTCCTGTATGTGCGAGTGTTTGTGGTGGCTGTGTATCAGGTTCGTTATATGCATTTTCATGTAACAGCACTTCAGGGTTCAGTGAGTGTAAGGGCTAAGAAATCTGAACTGAAATCAGCCAGGACTCTGGGAGCTCTTGGAGTTGCATTTTTAATATGTCTCTGCCCATATTTTTGTTTAACATTTACAGATCAGGAGACAACATTTAGTGCATCATCTTTTGCTTTTGTTATGTTTTATTTTAACTCCTGCCTGAACCCGCTGATCTATGCTCTGTTTTACCCATGGTTTAGGAAGTCAGTGAAACTTATTTTTACATTTCACATATTAAAGACTGGCTCCTCTGATGCCAACATAGCATGAGAAGAGTGAGACCTTTCACATTAAGTCAGAATTTTTGAAAAGTCAACATGTTTCTGCTGTTCATTTTAATTTCTCAGTCATTTCTTTTTTCTTTTTGCACTAGATCCAACAACAAGACCCACAAACGTTTTAAAGGAAATGTAAGTGATTGGATAAATGCCTTGTTTTTAGAAACAAGTCTAGAAGAGAGCAAGAAAGTTTAGAAAAAGTTTGAAATAACAAACCTGCTTATGCATGGGACACTGAGTTTAAAATAAAATGTTTAAAAAAAGTCCCAAACACCTTTACATTGTTTGGCCCACTTTCTTAGTGTAAAAAGAAGTGTTTCCTAGTGAAAAAAAAATCCAGTTGCATTTTGTCATTTAGCTCACTGCAGGGTTTCCTCTACATCAGAGATTCTTATCCTATGGGCCGTGACCCAATTGTAGGCCGTGAGCGCCACCTTGAGGGCCTCAAAAGAACAACAGTTTTTAACTTTGGGCCGCAGAGGGCCGCGGGACCATTTTGAATAAGGTGCAATGCACTTTCTCACCACTAGTAGCAATAGTGTGCCACTCAGATGTTTAACAACTTTTTAATATGTAGAAGAA